CACATTACACCCCAAATTCCGAGGTCGAGTTCGAACCGCAACATGATCAACTCGAGGTAGAGTACGAACCTTTACAAGAGTTAAATAATCAAAACCCGAAATCAAGACGTCAAACACATGTCCCACAGCGCAAACGGCAAAAACCAAGTCCAAAAAGCGCAAAAGGCAAAAGAAAGCGAGAACGCAAAAAGACAAAGAAGAATATATATACATACCCAAGCAATATCCAAAAGTTCTATACTTGAATTCCAAACAAAAAGTAAAACAGAAAAACATTAACTCAGCTACGACAAAAAGTGGCCTACGCAGAGGCGTTCTCACTAGAACTACCCTCGAGGTCGTTCTCCCTTACTAGCTTCCCAAAGCAGACTACCTTCTCCACGTGCATGGCAGAGAAGTCAAACCCCGGGGCAAGAAGCCTTGCCTGGCGAGTCGCCTTGAGGAAACCCCGCCTATGTTCAACCACGATGACTCGTTCGGTTTCCTCTAGCTTCTTCTCCAGCATCGCCCTCTCTGCCTCCTGCCTCGCCAGCTCCATTTTCAAGGCGGCGACCTCCTCCTCTTTGCCGCCAATCACGACCTCGTCGCAAAGGTTCCCCCCGGCCGCCGTCACCAATTCACTCTTCAAAGAGGTGACTTCATCCTCCAAAGAGCGAACCCGACCACGGGAAGACGTCACCTCATCTTCGAGGAAGGGCACCCGACTTCGGGACGAGGAGGCCAAGCCTTGCAGCTCGCCGACCTGAGAAGCATAGTTCTCGTTCGAGCGCAGAGCAATCTCCAGGGACTTCTGCACCCTCGCAAGATCCCCCCTCGCAGCTCGCAACTCGGCATTTAGGACCATATTCTCCTCCTTAAGGACCTTATTCTCCCCCTTCAGGACCTTGTTCTCATCCCTCAAGGGTTGAACTCGGCGGACCATCGAGGCTTCCAGTGACCCATAATGGTCGTAGCCCTCTGCAGAAGGACCTGAGCAGCGTCAAAACTATCCACGGGCCCGACCTCGTCTATCAGCCCCTGGGCTTCGGAGCTCAGCGAGCCTTGAGGGAAGAACTTCTCGGCAGTCACCCCCGTGCTCCACAACGAGTCCATGTCAGCCGAGGCACTCACATGGTCGCACCTTTGAAAGGCCCTTCTCGAAGCGGTGGGCTATGTATCGGCTTCGGGAAGCCCCCTGCGACGAACCAGACGGCGGCGCCGAAGCTGCAGGGGTGGACACGGGGACCTCAAGACTCGGCCCTTTGCCACGAGCCTCGACAGAGGCGGAAGCCGGCGTTCCCTGCTCGGTAACTGGAAAGTCCACGATAGGAACCTCCGACCTCGCCTGTGAAAACCAGCGCTATGTCAAAAAAGAAAAACGACAACATACAAGAAATCACGAAAATCAGGGAACACTACTTACCTCAGCAGCATGGGCAGCCTGCTCGGTGGCTGGAGCCGCCACCTCGACAGCCTGGGCGGCCTGCCCAGCAGCCTGGGTCGCCGCCTTGGCAGCATCTCCTGCCTGTGGAAGAGGGCCCTAGGTCAGAACACAGAAAAACACAATAGAAGACATCAAAAAGCCGAAGAGACAAGGTACTCACCACCTCGGTAGATTGAGCAACCTGTTCGGCAGTCTGAGCCATCTCCTCAGAGGCCACCTGAGGAGCCCCCTTGGGCGGTGGACTCTCGATAAGGTCTACCGCACCAGCGTCGGCAGCCTTGGAGGTCACCTCCTCGGCGTTCGGAGGGGTAGAGGTCCCCCCGACCTCCTTCGCTCCCCTCTTTCTTTTCCGGTTAACTTTCAGGGGGAAGCATCTTCCTCTCGAGGCTCGGGGACCTCGAGCTCGGTAACATTGTAGCGATGCTTTAGCTCACGCCACAAGTTCTTTCCCATGATACCTACAGACAGAAAATAGAACACATCAGCAAAGGGAATTTACACAAACTCCAACAAACCACCAAAAAACAAAATACTCACTCTCCAAGCCCCTCTCCCTATACGCCGAGTTCGCAAGCGACAGAACGAGCTTGCAATCCAGCGGACGAGGAAGCGCGGCGAGCTTCTCGATGGCGGCCGCCTCCAAAAGCTTCACTTGGCCCACCCCATGAAACCTAGACGGTCGGGGGCACCAATAGAAGGGAAATTTCAGCAGCCCGCCGAAGTAGAACGCCCCATCTTCCAATGGGTCGACATTCACAAGAGCGACTCGGAAAAACTCTTGTTTGAAATTTTTGTACGACTGGGAGTAGAGAGTAAACAAACCCCTATCCCTACTCCCACTCAGAGATAGTATGCCGTATGGCGGAACGCCTAACTTCAACTGGTAAAAATGAAGGAAGACGGGAAGAGACACCTCTATCCCTAAAACTGTACACAAGACTTGAAAAGCCCTCAAAAACACCAACTATTGGGGTGCAACTGGCAAGGAGCCGAGTTGACAAAGTTTAAAAAATCACACTCAAACTGAGTGAAGGGAAGACAGACACCTAAATCCCTGAAAAAATAGTTGTACATATAGAAATAGGGAGGGTCGGTAGACCTCCCCATGTACACGCCCTCACCAGCCAGGCAGGGTTCAAGCCGGATCATCCGGGAAATGGAAGGGTCACAAACCCTATAAGATCTCGGGATCCCATTAACCTCAAGAAAGGACCGAAAAATGCTCTGGACCCCCGCCATCTCACGCATGACCCAGTCGTAACCAGGGATGCCTGGCTCCAGGTCCTTGGGCGGAGGTGAGTCCTTCTTCTCGACAGCGGCTTTCCCGGTAGCCACCGCCTTGCCGCGCACCTTGCCCCTGGCAGGCGCAGAAGAACCGGCACCACTTCCACCAGCCATTAAAGAAAAAGAAGATTTGGGAAGAAGAAAAAGAAGATCTGGGGAAAAGAAAAAAGAAAACTATAGAAAGGAAGTACCTGGTACTCTTCCTTACAAACAACCCTAATAATGACGGGGTTACCAGAAACGGCGGCGGAAACTGTGAAAACAGCGACGGAGACTGGACGGAAGCGAAGGTGCACAAAGCAGCTTGCGCAAGAAGCCAAGGGAGAAAGAAAACGAAAAGAGTAAAGTGAAAGGTGAAGAGGCGCAAGTGAGAGAAAAGAAGGTTTTCTCCCAAATTCAAAACGGTCACGCCACGTGTCAGCCAAGGGGCACGTCTGACGATACATTAATGGAGAACCATCATGACAAACGCAAACCATCATTACATAACCGTCACTTCTATTAACGCGCCACTTGCACGTTTTCAGAAGTGACCAATTATGACACGTGGCATCTCAACAAGCAGGCGTACGCGAAAGGTCGCACCCACTTGACGAGCTCGGTCTTAACTCCTCGACCTACGGTCTTCGGAGCTCGGGGGGCTAGTGTACTATCCGTACTCCGAAGCCGAGCTCCGAGCTCGGTACCACAGCACGAGCTGACCTCGAACACGCGCTACGTGACGTCAGCTTGGCACTTAAATAGATCGTAACCGATCTCAGGGAATCTCGGTCTAGGCGAGATTCTCTACCTAATCAAATCATAACTAATCTCAGGCCCAAGGTCCAACGCAACCCTAATATACATCAAGGTACGTGCATTATATATACGAGATTCATACTCATACAAACCCTAACTTTAGCATCGGAGTCTCTTTTGCAGGTACCACCCCCATCTTGGAGCATCAAGCGTACCAGCGAAGGAGGCTCACCAATCTTACTCGGAGGATCATCTCTACAACAGATTTTCGGTAAGAATAATAATAATATTATAGGTTGAACTAATAATTTATATTAAAACACTTCAATTGATATTTTATTTCTTTTTAAAATTTGGGTAGATTGAAATTTGAAAGTGAATCAACTTGTTAACTCATCAATTAATTAAAGTGGGTAAACCCATCACTTAGTAGAGTAATTTATATTTTTCAACCTAATGTTTTTAATGGTTAGTTAACTTGTCTTACTTGATTTCTTTAGTCGCTCAACTTGCCTTACCTAATTTTAAGTAGGTTGACTTATTTTACCACTCCTAATATTTTGCTTTCAAGAATTATTAGAACATATAATGTTTTCTTCCTTTATTACAACTACGATGTAACACTAGAGTATGATATTATTTCCAAATTTTATTAAGTTAACATATTATAAATGATGGAAGAAATTCATTTCTACTTCCAATCAATTTCCCTGACTAGGATATTACTTTTATTCGTAGAGTTCAAACTCATTTCTATAAGTTGATAAATTCCTTCTTGATTGATCATTAATTATACAAATATCCAATCATTTCCAATTTTCATTCAACCAATATCTTAAGACATTACTTTTTCATAATTAAAATACAATAAATAACTTATTAATTATTATGATAATCCCAAGTCAAACAAAATTATTTAATTTTTTTTAAGAAATTTCGATCAACAATTTTAGTAATCTCACATATATAAAAAGAATCATTCTGACAAAAAAAAATTGATAGTTGAATTTGTGTCCATGTATTCTCATAATCTATCGTAAATAACTTTAATTTGTTACATAAAGAAATGTCAATTTTTATTTATTTAAATTTAATAAGTAAAATCTCATAAAATAAATATATTAAATAAGCTACATGCATTGGGCTAATCATAAAAAATATGAAAAAAAAAAGAAGAAGAAAAAGTTAGAGAACTAAAATCTGTTTGCAGAACCAGCAGCCGCCCTTCTTTCTTCCTATGTATTTGGACAAAGTGCTTCGGTTGACAATTATTATTATTAGTTGTAGCCGTGCTATTGTTTGTAGTTCTGTTTTTCATACATTTGTTGAGTTATAAGAGTTTATATATATATCCTCTCAAATGAATACAAATCCAATAATCCCATATCATTAGCTGCCTGAATATTAAAAATAATAAAAATAAAATAAAAACTCAAACCAACGTCTCAATTGCCGTCTGAATCAGGTGATGTTATGAAGAAATGCCACACAGATGCAACAATTTGCATAGAAGCATCCCTGACAGGGACTTTTCATTTAGTTTGTTGTCACATTTCATCCAACTCCACATTCTCCATAAATCATCTCACCAAACTCCTTTGCCACTCACTTTAGATTTTTTTACATTGGAGTCTTGTTTCTGAGCAATGGGAGATGAGGTGATTTTGTTGAATTTCTGGGTTAGCCCTTATGGGATTAGGGTCCGAATTGCACTAGAGGAAAAGGGCATCAAGTATGAGAATAGAGAAGAGGATGTCAACAAGAAGAGCCCTTTGCTCCTGCAAATGAACCCAGTTAATAAGACAATACCAGTTCTCATTCACAATGGCAAACCCATCTGTGAGTCACTTATAGCTGTTGAGTATATTGATGAGGTTTGGAATGATAAGTCTCCCTTGTTGCCTTCTGATCCTTACCAGAGATCACAAGCTAGATTCTGGACTAACTATGTTGACACCAAGGTACTTTACTTCTCTCTAGTGCTTCATTATTATTATTATTATTATTATTATCATTTATCATCACTATTTATGTTTTCTATCATCTTCTCAAGAGCAAATTATATTCACAACCCTTGTGATTCTTCAAAATTCACACAATACCTCTGCCTTGTTAGAATATCATCCACTAGTTACTCAAATTACAACAAGGTATGTCCTTAAACTGTGTATCCTCTCTGTTACTCAATATTCCAACGGAAGAGAGATACACACAAACAGAAGATGAATGTGTTAATTTCATTATTCAATTTTTTGTGTGAATCTCTTTCCATTGAAACTCTGGTATCAGAAATGATCCACACTCACCCCTTTTAAAGAGAAATTATCAAATAGTCTAGGATCAACAAGTAACTATGATTTCAACCAATCATTGTAGGACACATTTAAGTTTTTTAATCGATAAGAAAATTTTGATAACATTGATTTTATGTCATGTAGAAACTGGTCAGGAATCATGTAGAAACTTCTCATTTTTAAGGGAGGTTACTCTAAAGTTAAAAAGGCAGGAATTTGTGTGAATTTTGAAGAAATTAGTATAATTTGCTTTTACATCAAACAATCTTTGTTTGGAAAATGTGAAGTTTGATAGTGAACTTCCACTGTGAAATAGATGTATGAGATTGCCGTGAAGATTTGGAAAAGTGAAGGAGAAGAGAAAGAAGCTGCCAAGGAAGAATTCTTGGAGTGTCTGAAGTTAATTGAAGAACAACTGGGGGACAAGCCTTATTTTGGTGGGGACAACCTTGGTCTTTTGGATATTGTACTTGTTCCTTTGATCTGTTATACTTATACCTATAATATATATGGAAATTTCATCAACGAGACACAGTACCCCAAAATCATTGCTTGGTCTAAGAGGTGCGCACTAAAAGAGACTGTGTCCAAGTGTCTTCCCGAGGAACAGAGGGTCAAAGAGGTTTTTTCGAAGAGGAGACAGGACTTGAACAAATGAATAGATTAGAGAGAGGGTGCCAATAGCAAAATATTGCCTCTTGTTACTTGTGTGCTCTATCTTCTGAATAATGGCTTTACATACTGCACTTTGGTTTTGCTACTAATGTTATTTTCAGTGGATATTTGTGATCTAATGCAACATGCTCTTTTATTTCTACCAAATAGTATTTAGATGTCATATATCAGATATTCGTTTGCAAGTCAAAGTTATATGAATGCATATTTTAGGCTTAAAGTATATACAAGAACAAAACGATGTGCACAAAGCCACAAATTCCATGAAGAGATCTTCATAATGGAAGTTCGTTAACAAGTCTTGAAACCGCAATGGCATGTGTAACTATGATCTTAATCATTATTCATGAAAAAAGAGAATACAAATTAAAACCTTATAATACCATATTTAAAAAGAAAATTTTTATTGGGTTGATTCATGACATTGAAATCCCTCTTATTTCAATTCAAGTGCCTTCTTGCTTGCCTCAGCATGATCATAGATCTCTTTCTCATCAGGAAGATTTTTGGACACAGTCTCTCTTTGCATGCATCTCTTGACCCAAGCTACAAGTTTAGGACATTCTGCTTCCATTTTGAAGTTGCCATATATCTCAAAACTATAAAACCAACTGTAGAAAGAGATCAAACCAACGTCCACAAACCCAAAAGTGTCGCCCCCATAAAAAGGCTTGTCACCCAATGTCTCTTCTAATTGCTTAAAAACAGAGATTAACTCCTTCCTCCATGTCTCGTGCTCCTCACCTGTAGAAAGCCACATTTTCCTAGAAGTATCATACACCTGCATTGAATATCACAAAACTAGTATTGGTGGCAAAAACTGAAAGTAACACACAATCTATATAAACTGAAATCTAATACTCTTCCCCCCCAAAATTGAAAAGGTTGCAAAAAAACAAAAAAAGTTTATATATTTTCATTTCTTATAGTAAGTAGTATCTATGTTATAGGTACAAAATATCTATTAACTTTATTGAGGATTAATCTTTAACAAGGAATTTAAATTGTCATCTTTTGGATATTTTGTTTTAATATATTTTTTTATTCACAATACCCAAAACCAATATTTTGTTTAAAGAAATCAAACTTAGTTCTATCATGTGATTTCATCATGTTTAGTCTTTTTTTATTCAACATAATTAGTTGAGTTTCATAATTTGTGTGTATGTGAATCTAATGAAATAATTTTGCATCTTAAATTAGTAAAAAAAAAATTGAAACTCCGAAAATTGAAATCAATCAAGAAGACAATATTAACTAAAATACAAAACCCAGATGATTAAAATGATCATTTTAAAATTTTTCTAGTAAGATGAATCATCAAAAATATATTTAAACCATTAATTTACTCTAAATTTTATTTAACCAAGTTTAGTCAAGTGCATAAGGACTTGATCAATATGCAAAGTGTTAAGTTCGATCCTTATTGTTGTGATCGAAAATATTTTATACCAAGAGAACAAAAGTAGGTACCTTTTTGTCAATGTAATCTACCCAAAATCTGGCTTGAGCTCTCTCATAAGGGTCTGAGGGCATAAGTGGAGCCTTGTGACTCCAGACCTCATCGATGTACTGCACTATAATTGCAGAGTCACAAATGGGTTTGCCATTATGAATGAGAACTGGAATTTTCTTGTGAATAGGGTTCATCTGCAAAAGCAAAGAACTTTTGTTCCTCAGATTCTCTTCCTTGCATTCATACTTAACACCCTTTTCAGCTAATGCAATTCTAACTCTGATCCCATACATGCTTGCCCATGTTTCCAACAGAACAACCTCGTTTGCCATCCTCACCAAAATCCAATTGAGTGTACATATGTTGCGAGCTTTTAAATTTTTATACTGATTGAGTCAACCTTTTACAAAACAATTAAACTGTTCCTATAAGACAAGGCTTGTATATTACGTTTGCACTTACGTTTTTATATGATAGAGTCAGAGACTTATACAAAAAACAAATATGCACTTGCGTTTGAGCTTAATAATCTTAGGTTGAGTTCTTTTTGCAACTCACAACTTGTAAATCAAGACAGAGAAAAGGATAAGATAGTTTTGTATCAAATATTATGAAAAAGTTATTTCTGTTAGAATTATACTCTATGGTGATGAGATATTGTCCGCTTTAAACCTTAGTCTTAAGAGTTTTGCTTTTGGTCATCATCTAAAAAGTCTCTCAATTATTAAAATACGAGTATGTTTTATAAGTTGTTAATTTTCTCTTATTTTATGGATGTGGGACTTGTTTATATCCCAACAATTGCATGAATAATATTATTTGTAAAACTGGATTGAATGATTACAAAATTTGTATACCCTTTTAATTAGTTAAGTGTGCGTTTGACTATTGACATTAAGAATTTTGTGCCCATTTCTTATATTTTTTAAACTTTTGAAAAGAATAAATGAAGATAATATATACACACTTTAAGAAAAGTAACATTTGTACTCTCAAAACTTTGTAATAGAAAAAATAGAAAAGTTATTTGCCATTGACCGTTTAACTTTTTCAAAGGATAATTGGTCAATTTTTGCTAATTGAAAACAAGGACATAATGTAATTTATTATTTTATAGGTAAATTGATAAATTTGTTTGTTTGATAAAGAATTAAAAGAATTTCTAAATTAATTTGACTAGTTTACGAAGTTAATGTGGCAAAAATAAATTGTTTGTGGACAATTTTTAATGTAAAAAGCAATGAGATATTCTTTTTGGGGAAAAAAAAGTGTAGATAGGGCGAATATGGATCCGGATAGACCCGATCATCAGAACAAATGTTTCATAATTTTTTTTTTCAGTAGTAACAAATGATGAGTTTAGATATCGAACTAAAGGATTAAACGACAATTACCAATTTACTAATTGTTTTAAGAGATTATATTTTGTGAAAGAGTTGATGAGAAAATAGTTTAAAAGAAAATTGCATTTGTTGTAAACAAAAAATTGTGAATTGATTAAATTTGCAAAAATAAACTTTAGAGTTGTGACCGTTATTGATTTCAATTTTCCCAAATTCAATTTGCCGAAATCCTAGATTGATTATTTGCGTTTCTCTCGATTAGTTAATTACTTTGTTCATATAAATTAACCATCTCTCCTATTTCTAATTTTCTATATTTCTAAATTACCAATTGATCATACAATAATTTATAAACAAAGGAGCATATACAAATATAGAGGATGATTATTTAATCTAATATAATTAATTTGATCGTACCGTTTCTTAATTAGTCCCAGTTGTTTTATAATTTTCTTAATTGATGTTCATTGATCATTTCCATCAATTAATTAACTTTATTGAACTATAATTGATAAGTTCATCATGCAAATGTTAAAGCAATAAAATTGTGTTTACTGTTAATATTATGGCTTCAGCCTAATCATCAAAAGACTTGTTCTTTTAGCATATATGCATGAAAATAATTTATACAGCTTCTTTTTGACAGTTACACATGCCAAGTTCTGCTATTCTAAGGAATGATTTCTCATACTTCATCATTCGGTTTCTTCATCAATTTCTTAGGCATGCACAGCTTCTCATTGAACATGATAACCTTCAAATTTGGGTATCTTTTCATGACAGTCCTACATTCATTGTAAAACCATGCACAAATACGCAGTTATATTATAAATATGACTTTTTAATAGGAATTTAGAAATGCTTTTTAGAACTTTTTTATTAAAAAATACTTTTTATTTTTAATAAAAAAAACTTGCAAAAATATTTCTAACTTGTATCTAGATAAACTTTATTTAAGATTAATAAGTGTAATGCTAATTGTATCAAACTTTCATTTTATTTTATTTATTTTTGTTTATTTATTTATGTATTATTATTAATTAGTTGTGCTATTGTTTGTAGTTCTGTTTTGTTGTTTCATTGGCCGTCTGAATAATAATAATGTTAATGATAATAATAAAATCATTGTCTCAATTGTCGTCTGAATCAGATGCTGAAATCAAGAAACGACACAGATGAAACACCATGCAGAAACATCCGTGATAGGTATTTTTCCTCTGGTGGAATAGTTTATTCTCATTTCACATGTCATAAAACCCCTCATTCTCTACAAGTTGACTCACCAAAATCCATTGCTACTCACTTTTGCTTTTGTTGGAGCATTGTTTGAGCAATGGGAGATGAGGTGATTCTCTTGAATTTGTGGTTAAGCCCTTATGGGATGAGGATCCGGATTGCACTAGAGGAAAAGGGCATCAAGTATGAGAATAGAGAAGAGGACTTAAGCAACAAGAGTCCTTTGCTCCTGCAAATGAACCCAGTTCATAAGAAAATACCAGTTCTCATTCACAATGGCAAACCAATATGTGAATCACTCATTGCTGTTGAGTATATTGATGAGGTTTGGAATGATAAGTCTCCCTTGTTGCCTTCTGATCCTTATCAGAGATCACAAGCTAGATTCTGGGCTAACTATGTTGACACCAAGGTACTTTGCTTCTCTTTGGTGCTTCATTATTATTATCATTGTTTCTAGCTCCCTTAGTTGTTTGAAATTACTCATAAAGCATATAGGATACTCCTTTAAAGGAGTTATGAGTCAGTTTGGATACAATTTAAAAGAGTTTTTGAATTGGAAAAATTAACTTATTATTTTGAACAGAAAATTCTTAAAAAAAAATTTAACTTGTATCTGAATAGAATCAATATAAAATTAAAAGGACAGGGGTATTGTGCAAATTTTGAAAAAATCATAGGTAGGTCAGTGTAACTTTATTTTTTTATTTTTATCAAATAACCTTTGTTTGAAAAATGTGAGATTTGCTACTAAACTTTCACTGTGAAATAGATATATGAGATTGCCATAAAGTTTTGGACAACTGAAGGAGAAGAAAAAGAAGCTGCCAGGCAAGAATTTCTGGAGTGTCTGAAGCTATTGGAAGAGCAACTCGGGGATGAGCCTTATTTTGGTGGAGAAAACCTTGGCTTTGTGGATGTTGCACTTGTTCCTTTGTTCTGTTATTTTTATACCTTTAATTTATATGGAAATTTCATCAAGGAGGAACAGTACCCCAAAATCATTGCTTGGGCTAAGAGGTGCACTCTGAAAGAGAGTGTGTCCAAGAGTTTTCCCGAGGAGCAGAAGGTCAAAGATCACGTTTCTCAGAAGAGAAAGAATTTAAACAAAGGGTAGACTAGAGGCAGGGTGCATATTGGAAAATCTAGTCACTTGAGTGCTGTATAATATGAATAATGGCATTACAAAACAGCACTTATATGTGTGTGCCTTTGGTTTTGCTGCTTATTCTTTTCAAAGGATATTTTGTGACCCCCAATGCAACATTGTCTTTTATTTTCACCAAATTGTATTAATATGTCACATATATATCAATGGATAAAAAAAATGGCATATATATCATGAATTCATTATATTGGTTTGGAAGACAAAGTTATATGAATGCATACTTTAGGCTTAAAGTATATACATTAAAAAAATAAAAATAAAAAGTGCACAAAACCAAAAATTCAATGAAGAGATCTTCATAATGGAGTCTTGAAATCGCAAAAGGAATGTGTAATAAAGAACATGACTCTGACAAGGCTAGAAACATGTGGTTTTTCTCTTTTAGTTCACACACCTCAATGTCCAATGCAAATTGTCACGACTAACTCAAACTATATGTTCGAATTTATATTCATCCAAATCAACTTTTGGTCTGTCTAATGTTAATTTCCTTACTTTAAATACATGTGTTCATACTGTTAAATATCAGGTTTAACAAGAACCAAAATGCTGCAACTTGCTCAGACAAAATTGAAGAAATAAAGCAGTATTTCATAAATGAGAATGCCTATTTATAAGCTTACAAGTACAACCAATATGAAATTTGCTAACAAACTGTGAGACTTTATTGTAATTACAATAGCTAACAGAAAAATAATTAGCCTAACACTTTACAGTGTAACCTTAGTTCAATATAAATTTCTTCTTATAATCCAACACAGACTCATAAACCTCCTTCCCATCTGCAAGAGTTTCAGATACACTTTCCTTCTTCATGCATCTCTTGGCCCAGGAGATAAGCTTTGGACACGCTGCCTCCACTTTGAAGTTGCCAAAGGTCTCATAAGTATAAAACCAGCAATAAAAAGGTATGAGAGCAACATCAACAAACCCTAATGTGTCACCTCCAAAATAAGGCTTGTCTCCAAGAAACCCTTCCAATTGCTTTAAGCTATCTATGAAGTCCTTCTTTGCCACTTCTTGCTCATGTCCCTCTGAAATCCATACCCTCCTAGAAGCATGATACACCTGCATTTTATACTTGTTAGTTGTTGCTAATGACTTTGAATGAACACCTAAATTGGTCTTTAAATTTAGAAGTCCTTATTATATTAATCTCTGAAATTAAGAAATCATTAAATCTGTTCTTAAAAGTATAAATTCATAATCATATTAATCCAAAATTAAAGTAATAATAATTGATATACATTCAGGAATCGAAATGATAATAAATAGTTAACTTTAACAACTTATTTAACATTTTAAGGAATTATGCCAATTTCTTAATTTCATAAATTAATATAAGAATTACTTCCAAATTCAAATTTCAAAATAGGTGTTCACTCTATTAACTTTCTAGAATATAGATATTGTATAATCCTAATCTTCAAATTTAGAATTCTACCTTCTGATCTACAAAATCAGCCCAGAACCTGGCTTGAGATCTATGATAGGGATCAGAGGGAAGCAAGGGAGAATTGTGTTGCCAAACCATATCAATATACTCAACAATTATAAGGGACTCACAGATTGGTTTCCCTTGATGTATGAGAACTGGAATTTTCTTGTGAATTGGGTTCATTTCTTGAAGCAAGGGGCTCTTGTTGGTAAGATCCTCTTCCATGTATTCATATCTGATTCCTTTCTCTGCCAAAGCTATCTTAGCTCTCATCCCAAACATACTGAACCCAGAGCCCAACAAAACTACCTTGTCCTCCTCCACCATTGTTTGTGGCAACCACTGAGAGAGTGAAGTGAACAAATATCTGGAAGTTTAGTTTATCTTTGGTCCAATTGAAGAGATATTGATGTCAATAGAGTAATGCCTAGTAAATAGTTTACATAAACACTTGTCAACAAGGATTTATCCTAAGCTTGACTTTGAAACACTAATAAATTAAAAATAACTTTTTCATAAAAATAATTTATTTAAAAAGAGCATAAAATGATCCTAACTTTTGCTATAGCCACTGTTTATCAGAACCTATAAATATTTTGATTATTTTTCTGACAAGTCAAAAGGAATGTGTAAAGAGTCAGAAAGGGCGGCTGCCAGATGGGCAAATTAGATTTTAGTTCACAAGTTTTTTTGTCCTGGCTTTCAAGATTACTTTCATAACTCCTTAATATTTCTAAAAAAATATAACTTATTTAATTTAAATAAAAAAACATGATTTTTTCTATGAAAATATATATATATATATATACGTATACGGCAAATTATGAGAATACATAGACACAAATCTAACAATTTAATAAGCGTTAAAGTGCATAAAACAACTTTTCTAGATGAACAGAATCCAGAAGAAAGAAGAACATGGTACTTAAGTGTTTATTGGCGATCTCGAGTGACAAATTTACAAGTATCTAAGACTATATATCCCCTATAATTTCTATCCAAGCATCAAGAAACAGGGAAACTAATCGTCTCTTACATAGTAACTCTATCAAATAATATATTGAATTATTCAAACATTTGCAGCAAAAGTACTCGTATTAAAATATGTAGTCACAAACTAATCAGACACTTGTAGTTGGGAGTACTTACAGAGATATGTTAGAAACTTCTTAAATTGTAAATTTAAAGTTAAATAATCGTTGTCAATAAAAATAAATAGTCACTGGAAAATATTACAGGAAGCACCAAATATGGTATAAAATTGAGCCATGAATCTCTCTTTTAGATATGGTATCATTGCAATGTCAAAGAGTACTAACGAAAGAACTTTTATTGATCATAAGTTCACAACTTAAACATACATGCATTCATCCCTCAACTTAATCTTATTATTCAGACAAGACACATCAAAGTGTCAACTAAACCATAGATAACCAAAGCCTAACAAGCCCAAGATAAAACTACATAAGACCATACAATACCATATTTAAAATGCTAATTTTTGTTGTGGTGATTGATTCATGAAGTCCCTCTATTTTGATTCAAGTGCCTTCTTCATTCCCACAACATGATCATACACCTTCTTCTCATCAGGAAGAGTTTTGGACACAGTTTCTCTCCCCATGCATCTCTTAGCCCAAGCTATGAGTTTAGGACACACTGCTTCCATTTTGAAGTTGCCATATGTCTCAAAAGTATAAAACCAACTGTAAAAAGGGATTAGACCAATATCAACAAACCCAAAGGTGTCACCCCCATAAAAAGGTTTGTCACCCAGTGTCTCTTCTAACTGCTTAAAAATTGAGATCAACTCCTTCTTCCATGTCTCGTGCTCCTCTCCTGTAGAAAGCCACATTTTTCTCCAAGTATCATACATCTACATTGAACATCACAAAATTAGTATTGGTAACCAAAAAAAGAAACTAACACACAAAATATAAATTAAATCTAATAATCTTCCCACCAAAATATAATAGATCACTAATCAATTTATAGTCCCATTGAGACTCTAGTAAGAAACAACTCACTGATTTTAAAGCATAATTGATTGAAATCATTAAATGTGATTGAGATAGGTAATGAATTTAATCATAACCAGAACTACTGGAGTCAGTCTAGTAGTAGACTTGGGTCCTAAATTTGAACTTATCATTATCTAATTATGATGGATCAAAAGAAGAAAAACAATCATTTGAATCATTATGTTTTCATTAAATTATGTGTTAATGAGGAGAAATTAATTTTGGTTTAGGCAATTTGACTAATATCCAACCATAATTTTATTGAAATTAGTTATGTAATGTGAAAGTGGAAATGAGAAGTCTCACAATAGATAGAGAAATAACATATAAGTGAAAAGATTCATAGTCCATGCTAATAACTTGAGATTTTAGCTAAAAATGTGATAGCAAGTTCATTTGTGTGATTTTTCATAGACTACTGGTGAAGTTCTCACCGATGTTAACTCTTCAGCCTCTCAAGTATTGGTATGAGAGAGGATGGTTCTAAAAAGTAACCAACTCAAACAAATATTCCCAGCAAGTTGATTTAAATAACCATAGAGCGTTTGTTTTCAGGTATGATCTTACTTTTTTCTAGTGTCACATTCTTAGGAATATTATTATTGAAATATTATTCCTGAAAATATTTAAAAATATGTTTAGTGAAATTTTAACATTTTTTAAAATATTTAAAAATTTTAAATTAATTAAAATAAAATAAAAAAATGAGCTGAAAAAGGTTAAAGTATAACTTTCCACGTTTTCATCAAAATACAGCTTTCTCTTCCCCTATCATGGAAATCAAAATAAAATAAATCATGTTGTGTTGACCTTCTCAAAAATAAGTTATACTCTAAAATATTTTTTTAATACTGTAAAAAAGCATGAGAATATAACATTTGCAAATTTCCAACTCAATATTTGAAGAAATAACTTTTTAATCCGTAAAAGAAACACACTCATGATTATATATTCTCAATAACACTCTAAGAAGTGGAAAAACATTAAATGCATGTTTGGAGGATTTAAGATGGGTCATCGAATCATGATATTGAAATACTAATTAACAATTTCAAGTAAACATTCCACAAATTAAAACATGTACCTTATTGTCAATGTAATCTACCCAAAATCTGGCTTGAGCTCTCTGGTAAGGATCAGAGGGCATAATTGGAGCCTTGTGATTCCAGACCTCATCAATGTACTGCACTATAATTGCAGATTCACAAATGGGTTTGCCATTATGGATGAGAACTGGAATTTTCTTGTGAATAGGGTTCATCTGCAGAAGCAAAGGACTCTTGTTCTGCAGATTCTCTTCCTTGTATTCATACTTAACACCCTTTTCAGCTAATGCAATTCTAACTCTCATCCCAAACATGCTAGGCCATGTGCTCAACAGAACAACCTCGTTTGCCATTGTTGCAATGGATCACCAAACCAAACTGAAGTTGTGAAGATGCTGTGGAATAACAAGGCACGTGGTCATTTATAGTGATTGATGAGACAAACTTTTCCACAAAAGAAATATGTAGATGATTCTCATTTTTTCTTTAGGATATAAAGTCCTTTATGTTAGTGTTACGTTCTCAATTACGTCATTTCGATTTATTTAGTATTATCTGCTATCTATGCAGAATTCTATTCGCAATTCTCAGTTGGAAAACGACAAAAGATGAACAAGAAAAATAATTTTATATAGAAAAAGGGACTTTTGACACTCCAAGAGTTGAAAAAGATGGAAAATTAGGTGTGATAAATTTGATATGACGGATGAAGGAAATTTTTACTTAAATAATATTTTTTTTTAAAAAAATTACAAAAGTATCAACTGTGCAGGTTTATTTACCAATATATAACTGTTTACTGTTCATGCTCAGAATTCGGTTCCCGGGGAACCGAATTCTGAACTTCAAAATCTTATTTTTTTTGTTTTTTCAACTCAGAATTCGGTTCCCGGAGAACCGAATTCTGAGTTATTTTAAATTTTTTTTTTCGTGTTTCTGGCCCATTTTGGGCAAATGTTGGAAGTGGAACGGCCCATTCCGGAAGCAGAACGGGTCGTTCTGCTTAAAGACACAGAGTCCTTTTTTTAATTAAAATGGACCCAGAACGGCCCGTTCCAGAATAAAAATTTTAACATTTTTTTGAATCTGAAACGGCCCTGGAACGGCCCGTTCCGGAGGACGTTTTCAGGAAGTAGAACGTGGTTTGGAACGGGCCGTTCTGGTTTTGGAACGGCCCGTTCTGGGCAAATAGTAAAAAAAAAGATTAAATTTTTTATTTTTATTTTTAAAAAAAAGATAATAAAGTTAAAATAATGGGATATTAAGCAATAAATTTTTAGTCCTCACTCACATTCATCGGATATTTCTTGATCCAAGTGAATTAACCTTAAAGAATTAAATTTGGGATGAAGTTATAGTTTTGAATTCTGATAGTAAATTTTAATTTTTAGTGTATTCTTAACATAAAAATTATAATAATATCAATTAATCAGGATTCATGAAATAATATTTAATATTAATGTTTAGAAGTTAAGAAACATTTAATATCAGTTATAAATAATATATTTAGACAATCACTTAAGATAATATCTTGTGTTTAAAACGTACAATTATCCCTGAACTATAGGGAATATATTCTCTCCGACAATATAATTATCGGATAAAATTTTAACTATTCAATCAATTTTATTAAAATAATATATTTAGACAATCACTTAAGATAATATCTTGCGCTTAAAACGTACAATTATCCCTGAACTATAGGGAATATATTCTCTCCAACAATATAATTATCGGATAAAATTTTAACTATTCAATCAATTTTATTAAAATAATATATTTAGACAATCACTTAAGATAATATCTTGCGCTTAAAACGTACAATTATCCCTGAACTATAGGGAATATATTCTCTTCGACAATATAATTATCGGATAAAATTTTAACTATTCAATCAATTTTATTAAAATAATATATTTAAACAATCACTTAAGATAATATCTTGCGCTTAAAGTGTACAATTATCCCTGAACTATAGAGAATATATTCTCTCAAACAATATAATTATCGATAAAATTTTAATTATTCAATCAATTTTATTAAAATAATATATTTTGTTATAAATTAAATTTAAAAAATTAAGGGTCAAATTATCACACTTCACCGTCCAAGTGTTCTCTCTGATACGAAAATTTCTCGTCCGTCAACCATAGTTTAAAATAATCTCAATTAATATTTATACTATATTTTGCGACTTGAAATTATTGAGATTTGAAATTTACAAAACATTAATTACTTTTGGATTCACCTACGTGGCATCCACCTGGCATCCACGTGGCCACCAATTAACTCCGTTTAAATCATTTGGACAGAAGTCCCAAATTACAACAATTTTAATTATTAGGAACTAAATTGAAACAAAAAATTAAAGTGGGACTAAATTGAAAATATTAAATAATGTAAGGAACGAAAAGAGGTTTACGAAACAGTGTTTTTCCTTAAAGTCATTGACGATGTACCCCAACAATAGCAACCTGTTCTTGAGGAGGTACCCCTAAACCCTGAATTTTATTTTCAATTTTTTAAATACATTGCGACATTTTAGTCAAGATTTTGAATTAGATAAATTCAAATCAAAGAAATATTTTAGAAGGTCTTATCTTATTTGATTTTTTTTTTAGTTTTATTCATAAATGAATATTAATTTATTGTATTTTTTATTTATTATATATTTATTAATATAGATATAATAAAAAATTCACCATTGTACATGATTCCTCCAATGTTGGGGACATGAAGTAGATTGATATCTTGTATTGAATGGGCAGCATAATGCACCATTCAGATTGAAGTTTGATGTTTATCAGTCTTTTTTTTACAGAATCTCTCCACAAGTACGGCTGCCCCACGCGTTCATCTCTGAACTTTCCACCCGTCATTGTCGCAGGATGGCCACTGCGACCTCAAATTATAGAATTTACTCTTTGGCAGCGACCGAATTCATCCACACCGCATGCCACACTGTTATGTTGGTGATCTTCAATCATCATCTCTTTTCAAGAGAATCGAAAAATAGTGAAAGTAAAAAATAAAAAATATATAACACGTGTCTTTAATTTATGCACTACTTTCATCCAATGGTGGAAATTTCTGCACCGTAACTTTCTCGCCACAATGTCAGAAAATCCTTTTTCTGCTTCTTGTCGATTATCGCAATAGGAGGAGCAACGCAACACAAACGGATAAGTATAACGAAAGTTTTACAAAAATAAGTTTATTTTTGTTGAAGTTTAGGCAAAGGACTATAAATGATTCTTTGAAATGTATCGACTGAGCGAAAACATTCTTTATGCTTGAATGCTTTTTTAGTTTATTAAATATTAAAATAGTGTAAATTTGGCTCAACAAATTTTAAGACAAATTTTAGTTATTCAAGATAGTTTATTTCATTAAAAATATATCTATTTTAATTTATATGCTATTAATAGATGACATAACAAATAATATGATGTTTATATGAAAAATGATACATATTTTGAAGTGTAAAATGACATGACATGTGAAAATGAGAAAAAAAATATATGAACAAAATGTTAAACATTATATATGTACTCAAGATAGTGAAATCTTTACACTATGTCACTAAGAATGAGAATGTACTAAAAATAATTTCAACAAGTAAAAAAAAGTATCATGAATGTGTTTGTAATTGCAAAACTAGAAGGTAATTTTTGCAATTGACAAGGAGGGATAGAAACATAATGCAACAAAATTATTGACGAAAGTTTTATTTAAGTCTATTACAACAATATGAGAAAGAATGTAACACAAATTGAATAAGTATTATTGCACTATATTATTTATGGACTTAGAATCGCAGTGAAAATGAGTTTTCATAAGGTAATTGTCATTGATTATGAATTTGAACTTGAATGATCTATCTTTAGACTGTGAAGACATCTTCAAACCGTTAGATATATTAAATTTTGAATCAATAATTGAGATATTTTTTTAGTTTTTCTCTCTTTTTTTTTTCATGTTTTCTAATTTTATCCCAATTTCCTAACCTGCACAGTTGATACTTTTGTAATTTTTTAAAAAAAAATATTATTTAAGTAAAATTTTCACGGATGAAGTGTGTGATAAGAATGGTAAGAAAGTCAAAAATGTGTTTCATTTATTTTATTGTTCAAAAGTGGATCATATATATCTCTACAAATATTGTTTTATATAAGTTATACAAGAATCAAATTCTTAATCAGATACTTTATAAAAAAATATGTTATCACACCTAATTAATTATCACCCCCCTTATGTTATGTCACACCTAAAGATGTATTTAGAAATAACAATACGAGAAAATTAAGTTCAATTCTCGTCATATTTTTATAATCTTTATAATTTTTCTCATGAATAAAAGAAAGGGAAAGAAATATAAACTAATCACTTTCTATTGGAGAGGTTAATTAAAGAAAAAGATATAGATATTTTACACGGCAGAAAATTGGTTTGATCGATTACAAATCTGGTGCCAAAATTGAATATGAAATTAACAATTTATTCTTTGAATTGATTTATTGCGTGGTCTGTTAAGGTACGAGAGTTGCTCACAGAACAGAGATAAATTGGTTAATTTATTACATTATGAGGACAATTTTCAACACAAAAAGCAATGACTTTTTGTTTTGTTAGAGCAAAAAGAACTTGTCATACATTGTATTAAGGGAATAATAGATAAGGAAGAAAGGAAATTGCCAAATCAGTTCCTTCCTCTCGCATTGTCAAAGATGTGAAGGAAGGGTAAAAAAATCAAATGACACCAATGTTTTTACATCTTTCTATTATTTGAGAGAAAGATGATGTTTTCAATAAAAAAGTTTAAATTTTCTTTAATTTCATATTTTTTTATTAATAATATTTATGATATATATGTATAACACATAATTAAAAAAAAACTTTTGCTTTTGTTTCCTTTCGTTTTCACTCTTATAAAATAATTTAAAAATTATTTTACTTTCTACACTTTTTTCTATTTCCTTTTAATTTTTTATTTTCATTTTCTTTCCTAAACTAAAAATACCTATAAAAATTAAATATTTTTTATATAATTTTAACTTTGTGTTTGTATAAAAAAAAATATAGAGAGAGATAAAGTAAGTGACGAAGAAGTGCAGAAAATGAAATAAATAAAGTGAAAGTAGATTAGTGAAAAAAAATATAAATATAGAAGTATAATTGTCTTTGAAAAGTGGATGATATTTTTCTCATAGATTATTATTATTATTATTATTATTATTATTATTATTATTATTATTATTATTATTATTATTATTATTATTATTATTATTAGGAGAAAAAAGAGATATTTCATGTCCTTTTATTTAAGAAAAAATAATGATAGTTATTTAAAGAGATAATATTTTTTGTTATCTATAAAAATAATCTATCTAAAGTCAATGCTTAATCTATGCTTGTGAGACGTGACTTTTACTGACTAAGCATTATTTTAACATAGAC